TTATGGATGCACAAGGAGTCAGACCTGCAAAACCTTACTCACAAGCCCTGATAAACCTCACTTCAGCTAGCAAGTTTAAGGATGCCCTGAAGAGAGCCAGATCACTTATCTACACCATCATGGAATAACTATAAAGTGTTGAGATAAGTGATTTTATATCTCCCAGTTTTCTGCTGGCCTTCTCCCTATCTATCAGTTTATGCCAGTGAAAGTGGGTGTGAAATATTACTGCTCCGAGTTGGTTGCATTTTATAGTCACTTCAGTTCACATAGGAGAGGCATGGGTAGAGTGGATGCTCTTACCTGTCTGTGCATTTCTGAATGGAAAAACAGTGGAATAGCTCTGTCATACTCACCGCGTTTGACTGTAATAGCTGTGCGACTGCCGCCCCTTCAAGAAGCGTGTTGTAGGCCAGATGGTGGTAGGGATTCTACCCAATTCTTTCGTGCTCAGCTTTTGCCATCGAGAGAGGTGTGCTTGCTTACCTGCAGTTTGTACAAGGCTTTAAAAAAAACCCACAATGTAAAATTTGGGGCGTTTCCAAGAGTCATCTGTGACTTTTGCCAAGCAAAAGGATATGCCACAAAGGGTTATTTCAGAGTGCTTCAGTATCCATGCAAACAAGTCTGAATTTCAGCTGCCTTTTGGGCTTGTTTATTTTGTAAGTCACAGATAATTTAACAAGTTATGTATTTTCATGTTGTTGCATTTGTTGCAACTCTTTCAGAGTCAGTTCTCTTCACGCCATACATAATATCCAGCTCCATAGCTATACTTTGCTTTTTGTTTTATCTTTACTTTCTAGATAAGAGACTTTTTTATAGATACTCACCTGCAGCTAGAGTTCAGCAGCTATTTATTTTGTGTACGCAGAAGCCTTGTAAGATCTAACCTGTGATGTTGTTTTTGCCATCTGATAACGTATGATCAAATGGAGCATGTTTAAATAACAACATCTAGGACACAATGACAGTAAACCAGCTACGAAACAAACATTTCTAAAGATCAGATAAGATGGAAGAGATGCATCAATGCTGGATTGCCCCGTATATCATAAGTTCTTGCACTTTGCTGTAGAGGTATTCCAGGCATGGGATTTCCTTTATGCCACAGGCTAATAGATCGTACTGCATTATTTTTCATGTTGTTTTATATCTTGTAGAGACATGTGCCTTTGCAAAGTGAGTGTAATACACCGAGTATGATAGTGTTATACATAATAGGCATGAGCTGCACAGGAGTAGGTGAACAGTAAGAAATGCAAAGGAACAGAGAATTGTCTTGTTCTGTACTCTCTTGCTGCCTTCTGTACTGTCACCTCTTCTCCCTAAATCTATGCCATCTTCTGCATTAAGGGCTGCCTCTCACTTCTGCCCAAGTCTATACTTCTACAATTCATTTTCAAAGCACCGTATTGGTTTTTAATATTGTTTGTATTAGTGTGCAAAAAAAATAACCTTATGTTTAAAACCATTATTTCTGACTCTCAGTCCTGCTGCTCTTTGTTCACCTGCAGGAGGATAGTACCGATCCTGAGTCTCAGGAAGAGAAGCGGAGAAACCGATGGCTGGCTGAGCCTGCAGACGGTTACAATACAGTGAAGAGCGTTCTCACTGTACAGGAATATTTCGCCAAGCGCATGGCAAAACTGAAGGGATCCCAGAATGAAACAGAAACAAAGGTAGACAATTCCTGCCCAACAGCTGACGAAGCTTTGGAGGCTTCAGAAGGACTGAAAACCAAAGTCAAAAAGAAAAAGAAGAAGCAGAAGAAAAATGAGGCAAAGAGTACAGAGCATTGTGAGAAACCAAAAGTGAAACAATCTAAGATAGGTAGCTTGAATGGTAAGGAACTGGAGGCTCCATTAAACGAGTGTCACTCAGGGAAAAAGAAAAGGAAACATAAAGAGCAGCATGAAGGGGAAAGCGTCAGTTGTGATGAAAATCTGGGCAATGGAGAAACTTATACAGGAATATCTGATGGGGAAGATCTCAGCGTAAAGGACTCTGAAGAAAAGCAAAAGAAATGCCGTAAGAAGAAACACAAAAGGCAGAAAGAGGAGACAGATGAGTGTATCGAAGGAGAACAGAGAAAGAAAAAGAAGCACTCCAAGCACCTTTAACCATTTAAGACTCAAGCTGGGACTCTGAGGTGATTCGAACTTTAGCACATTAGAGGAGAAGTCTCTGTGTAAACACAACCAGCCAGACATCATGTTGTAATCCAGTCTTGAGCACACTGCTCTACCTCCAACTGAAACCATGGACTGTGTTTAAATATATCTCTTTCAAGGGAGAACACGGTGACAGGCCAATGTGAGCTTCAGTGCCATGTTAAAAAGGTCTCCATCTGTAAGGCTGAGGCTTGCATGTCTGCAAAGACTTGATAAAAACCAGTTAGGCTTTGCCACTTCCAGTATGGCAGACGGTTCACCTCAGTGGCTTTGCAAGAGCTATGTTTTAACACAGCAGACCCTGTGCTGCACCAGAGATTCGCTCTGGTGCAACTTCATTCAAGGCAGATAACAGCAAGCAAAATCAGGCATGGTTTTAACCACTGTGGTTAAGACTGCGAAAGGCAGTGAATGCTGCTTTACACTGACTGTGTTTTTCTCAATCCAGGGGGAACAAAAAGTTACCCTACTACAGCCTTTATTATTAGAGCCACTGTTGTTTTCACTTGTGATAGCCCAGCTCTGCTTCTGGAAACAGGAGGGGTTTTGCAAAGCTGTATGTATTTTTTCACTGATTTTTGCAAAGTCTAATTTTGTCTAATTTTTTCATTGATCTCCTTTTATGTATAAAATAAATGTTGTATCTTCCCAAAATACTTATTCTAATTAAAGGTTTACACCTGAGTGTCAGTACTAAAGGATGAAATAAAAATAACTCTCTCTGTTTCCTAGCCAGTTGTTAACTATTCTCAAGCAATTGTAACTTTGCAACAAAGCTAAGGAGCTGTGCCTTTATTAACCATATCCAAATCTTTGGTTCCCAGGCAACAGGGTACCTTCACTGATGCATCTGGCATTCAAAAAGTTGTCTTGGATAGAGCAACGGGTTTTTTCTGAAATTAGGAGACCAAATAGATTTTAAAAGCATAGCTGATCAGATGCATTAGGATTGCTGCTTACACATTGCAAACTTGCAGTTTAGATTAATAACCAAATTAGTGTGTTTCTAATTGTAAACTTGGAAATAAGTAATGCTGGAACTCAGCACTACCACCAGCAGTTTTGTATGAGATCTTAAACACTCAGCATGAATTTTGACATGTTAATCTCACTCAACTAAGAGCTGCCAAAAGAGGTGGGTGAGCTTGGAATTAAAGTGGTGGAATGGGAAGAAGCATTCGCTGTCCTGGAGTCCAGTTCTGATGTTGCTTTGGCCACGGCAAATTGACAGCACAACCCTGAAAGCCAGCCAGTTATCATGGCATAATTCAGAGTAGTTGACCAGAATTCAAGTTCATTAGCTGTTTGGCTGTGTTTCATCAGTGTAAATCTAAAACATCCCATTGGTCTGCTCTGCTGAATAAAATGGGTACATTTTTTTAATTGTCTTAGCTCAGTTGAGTTGCTTAACGTGGTTTGAAAAACATTGTCAAGATGCAGATGTTAATGTCAAAAAAATTCCTTAAGCTGCTTTTATTGTCCAGTGGAAGAAACTTAGTCTGCAGTACACAGTCTTCATGGCTTCAGATGTTTTACTTGCAGCTGAGCTCTTCCTTTTTCAGATATCTTGGTTTGCAGTGCACCTTTCTTGCCTTCAGGACATGCTCATTCATTGCAGCAAAATTGCTGTAGTTTTACTTACTGGAAGGGAGAACGAGATGCCGTTCTCTGTGTTTCACTGCTGGCATGCCAGTAGTTTTTACCCCTTGTAGCATTTGCTTTTCAGTGCTATACAAATATTAGCCATTATGATGCTGCTGTGGCTGGGCTTGTTCCCCAGCTTCCTTAACTGAAATACCACTTAATGCCATGAGGTTGCTATAGAGTTGTGAGTAAGCTCCATGCTTGGGATGGAAAAAATAATCATCTCAACGGAAAACAGCAAAATCATTTTTCATGTCATATTGAAGCATCTGGAGTTTTATGGGTCCCCGGCAAAGCAGCCTTTCTAAATTCACCCCGAATTTGGATTTTTGTTTGTTAGCAGAAGCCAAAAGCTCGACTATTTCCAATGTTTTTTGGGTTTTTTTAAACTCTTGAGCAGCTAAACTTCACAGTCTGTCTGCGATTTCAATTTAAAAAGGTGCTAGTCAAGGAATAGGTTCTCCTTCTTCAAATATTGCTGGGCTTGTTTGTTTGTTCCTTAATCTTCCATGAGTTTCTACATGCTAATTCTTACGAGTGTGTGGCTAGATTCCAGTGTTAGCTATAGAAAGAATAAAACCAAGAATAAATCTTTAAATTTATGGTGTTACTACAGTTAAGCACAGCATACCTAAGATTTAAATCTGGCTCAGATTGAAATATCAGCTACAAATAGAAGATTCTGTATTTGTACAAGAAGTGGGAATTTTGCTTTGTCCCAGGAAATACAGGATTTTTATGTGCCTCGGGCTCAAAGCTTCTGCAGAATATGGGTTGTAGGGGGAAAAATATCATAGTAGACTAACATTTGAAACAAGCAATTCACTTAGCTGCTCTGCTCTGTGTGCGTTAGTAGTCAGCCAACTTTGCATTACTTGACAAAAAGCTCTTCTTACCAAATACTGTCTAGTGAAATGGATGATTGAAACAACAGGAACGTGTTTCAAAGTAATAAATTGGGGTTTTTTGTTTATGGTGGGTTGTGAGTCCAGTTTTAACTGGACTCTGGTTTGGCAAGAAGGTCATTTTTAGAAAGCATAAGAAAAAGAATTACGTCATTACCCAAATGGTGAAATTAGCAGAATGTAAGCACAAAGAAATTACTTGGTTTCATTCGGTGAAAATAAGACACTTAAACAGCAGAGTCTTCTGTTATATGTTTGTCCATCGTACTCACACGTTGCAGCAGAAAATTATGTACCTCCAAGTGCAATTACCGAGAAACTAAGAAAATGAGAGTCGCCACTCTGCTTTCGCTTCCAAATCGAGAGTGGTGCACACACAGCAGATACTAAAATGCTTTCAGTTTTAGTAACCCCAGGTCTCCAGTGACATAGAAGAAAATTTTTCCTTTTTGCATTGGGAGCCTTACGCAGATGATGGTTTCTTGCGAGTTACTTCCCTTCTTCGCAGGTACCGCGTTGTTCTTCGCTGTCAGCCTTGAAATTAACTGTCAGTGCAAGGGGAGCTACGCGCCGAGCTACGTGATTTGCAGCTGCAAGTTTGTGAACAGCAATACAGATGCTGACTTTTTCGCTTGCAATTACCTGCAAGCACAAAACTGTGTCCCGGAAAGGAGAGGCCATGGAAAAGTAGTCTCTTACCAGCATCGGACCAAAGTCTGCATGACCTTTATGGGCTTCGACTGTTTTGATCTTGCCGAGTCCTGACTCTGCAGAGCCTCCCTTCGAGCCAAGGATGGGAGATTGCACTGGTGCACATCCCAGATGTGTGGAACAGGCACCGTTCCTTTAATTTCTTTGCAAGATGTACTAGATCTAGTGCTTTTACACACAACCGGTGTGAAGCAGAAGAAATAACCAGGGTTATTTCAAAGCATAGATGCGGGGTACTATTAAGTACAAGTTTCAAGACAACCCGTTAAGATTTCAGAACCCCGTATCCTTACGTCTACATGAATTTCAGTCCGTTAGGTTGTATCTGAGATTCAGCTGCTTTGTGAAACTTGAGAAATGCACTTGGGGACCCATCCAGTTTAGCATCCCATTCAGTTAATGCAATTTTCCCTTAAGCAAAAGTCAGTTCTGGTGCCGACGTCTTTCAAATAATCAGCTCTCAGCAAAGAAAATTAGCTGAATGCACCGATTTTCCCCTGTTTAAACACACAAGATTGAAGTTCTTGAAGCATCCACCTTCAAAAGACGCAGTTTACGTCACGAAACCTCCAAACCTGCCAGCACTAAGAGGAGGAAGGAAGCTCCAAGAAGGGAGGAAAACCACACAAAGCCTCTTGGAAACACTGCAGAGCATCACGCCTACCTTAAAAAAAAGATCGTCTAGTAGTGTGTCCTCAAACAGCGTGAGGATTGCTCGCACCTGGAGCAGCGTTTGCTTCGTTCCTCCTCGTTCCTGGGCGCTATGAGATTTGCTACGTGAAGGGTTATACATCTCACCCGCGTGGTGTTAGTGGCCGAGGAACCCCCAGGAAGGATCAGAGCTCAGACTTACTTGGAGAATAACCAAGGCTGTTGTCTCTGTACCTATCCCATAAGCAAACTTTCGCTTGTATAAGCAAATTTTTTAGTGACGTGGGACTGGTGAATATGGCAAAAATAGAAACTTTTGTAATGGCACAAGTGGGAAGATTGTTCCAAAGCCAAACTGAAGCTGGATCTCTCAGCAAGTCAGAACTTAAATTCTGCTTCTGAGTCACTCAAAAGATTTTTTTTTTTTCTTATCTTAATCCATTTTTACAAACTTTAAACTGGGAGAGGGAAATTCTGCTCATCCCTTTTAACCTAAAGGGACTAAATTTTTTTTTTTTTTGGTAGCTTTAAGCTGCGTTTTAAAAATAGTAAGAGCAGAAATATTCAGCACCATGACTGTGTGCATGCTGAAAATTTTAGCTTTTTTTTTGTGTGTGTGTGTCTACATTTTTCACTGCGGGCTGCGTAAGGGGAAAGCTCTGGTTTCTCCTCCTAGCAAATAAATGGTCCCGGTGGCGGTCCCTGGGGAAAGCCTGGTGGGCCCGGGGAGGATGGGCGGCGGGCAGGGTTGGTTCTTCTCTCTCGGTGGCAAAGCAGCTGGGAGCTGCACCCCTGAGACATGGCTCTTCTGCTGGGAACCCCCCGCTGTCTGCGAAAACTGCCCTTGGGAGACGAGAGTTTCATCAATAATTAAGGAACGTGTGAATATCGAGCTAATTTTGGATTTGCACTTTCTCACACATTTTAATGTCTCTGAAGCGGGGAGCGGGGGGAAGGTGAAAATAGACCCGTCGTTTGCCAGCCGAGTAAAACGCCAGATGCCGGATCCACGCCAAAAGGGATATTTTTAAAGAGTGG